GCTAAATTGAAAAGTCGGCAGGCAAGTCAATGTTTGCCGAACAAACTTATCCACTTCTTTCGAGAATAGCGCGTGTAACCCACTCATTCTCACATAATCCAAAATCATAATCTACTTACTATAAATTATTATAATAAGTAAGGATTTTATTATAAATTATTATTTGGTAAAATTAGATTTTAAAAAAATAAAATAATCATTAAGATAATATTTTTGACAAATTTTAAATTCTAAATAAAATTCACTTACGATATTGTATTTATTTTTAATAAAACAAAAATGTGACAATGTTAAAAATTAAGCTCAAATTCAGTAATTCATTGTAAATTTTATTAAATTTGATGACATTTGAAATGAATTCTTCAAATTATACATGAAATTTCATATAAAAATTTTCTAATGTAATTTTTACATTTTGCATAATAATGTAACACTGAGACCTGAAAATTTAGTTTCGGATAATTTAATATATATAGAATAATAAGTTAAAATAATTTAAGTTTTATTTTTTTTTTAAGAAAATTGAGTCTTGGGATGTATTTAAAAATATTTTCGAAAATTATGATTAAAATAGAAATAAAAGAGGATTTATTTGAAAAGAAATATGAAAAACTGAGGTAAAAAAGAAATTAATAAAATTTTGGTCACACGGACAATCTGCGTGCCAACAGATCCAACGGCTCAGATCACATCTCACACGCACGGACAACCTAGATCCGTTTCTTCTTCAGGCACAATCGAACAGTTGAATTTGATCAGATCGTGCGGGCCAAATTAATTCTCAAAATAAGAGCGATCTAACTATTAAGGATAGACTACGTTTCCTCGAACGAACGACCTATATTTAATGAAAATAGGTATTTAAACTACTCTTCACAGAGAACTCTAACCCTAACTGTCAGAGAGAATATCAGAGAAGAAGAAGAGGGGCAACAAGAAATTGAATCAGTCGCCAGAAAAGAAGACTAACCACCGTTGTCGCCGCACCAGAGCCACCGCCGACGCCGAAAATGTAAAAAAAATTTCTCTTCCGTTCGAAATTGAATTTCGAACCTTCCTACACCTATATCGGAGCCAAAAGGCCAAAGGGTGAGCTTAAAAATACAAGCAGAGCTCGGTCGAGTCACCGCAATCGCGACCTGAAAACCCCTCCGATGAGCGCCTTCTCGTTTTTCGTTTCTCTCACTTTTTTAACCTTTGTGTTCCTTGTCTCATTCTATTATAGGTTAGCCAAAATGAAGCTCCGATCGCAAGAAATGAATGGCAGAACTGTCGCACCGAAAAATTTCTCCGCTAATAGGGTCTTGATTCTTCCCTTTTTCGGTCGACAAAGGCTCCCTAACCTTGTTTTTTGTATGTTTCCATGTAAAATGGCTAAAATTGGCCGAAAAACAGCTAGGTCAAGAGGAAGCACTGTCATGGGCGGTGGAGCTTACATCGGAGCTCGGTGGTGTCGCCGTGCTGGAACCCTAAACCGGCTGAAAAAATTTTAAAATGCTCATTTTGACATTTTTGGCGTAGTTTGAAGTCTAATCCAGACGTGGATATGTATTTGTGAGTGTGAGTCAACTAACAAACGTATCTACTATAGCCATTGTAAAATTTACATGTGTGTACTATCCATGTGATGGGGAGATCTATTTTGCCTCTACTCGATGACGATATAAACGATATCACGTGATGAAACCTTATATGTGATATTCCGAATACATTGTAATATTTCGAGTATAAGTTTGATTTGAAATAAAAACAATAATTATGTTATAAGAGTGAGGATTAAAATATGTTTTGTATGATGATTTGTTTTGTTGTGTATTTTGATTGTGATGCTTGTTTGATATTTTCTTTGATGATAAAAATTATTATATTTTTGATATTGCGTGAATGTATGTTTGTAAGTCTCTGTTATAGAATCTTTTTTCTTACTGAGCTCGTGAAGCTTACTCTAATTCATCCTCATTCAGGTGAGAGGAAATGAGAAACAAGTCAAATATTAAAGGAAAAAGATGAAGGAAACCTTGTTAGTTTTTATTTTAAATTTATAAATTAATTTAGATACCTCAATTATGTATAAACAAATAATTATCTAATCATAAGAAATGTGTATTAAAGTGTAGTCCTGCTGCATATTTAATATTTATCTATTTTATTAGTTAAAAATATTGTACTAACATTCGTATCAATCGACATTAGGGTTCGGGATGTTACACCTAATTAATTGAATATATATCACTAGTGAAGCTGGTAACCGGTTAGTGTATAATTACCCTAACTGTGTTGTCTATTTATTAATATATTGTGTAAATTGCTATTATCTATTAATTCAAATTACTGTCTCGTTAATTGATTGTTTGACTGATTATTTTCACCTATTGACTGATTTGAAACAAATGCCCTAATCACATTTTTATTAATTTGTGTACTGTCTTTTTGCATGACTTACTGTTGATCTGTAAATATAAAATATTGGTATGTAATTGATAATTAGTTGATGATGTGAATATATATATTGAAAAGCTCATCGGGTTACAATAGGGATGGTGTACGGACCCGGTTGCGTAAAGAAAAATTCTACC